CATCTTCTTCTTACCTCAGATTCTACCACCGGAGCTTTTTCTTTCCTTTTTCGTTGAGCATAGATAGCTAAGGTGGTAGCAAGAGCCAACACATGTTACACTGCCTCACTGGTGGCATCTGGGGTGGTGTTTACTGGATCAGATGTAACTTGTTGTTATGTAGCCCCCTGATGACACACATAATTCAGATCAGGACATGTTGGAGGTAATACAAAAGGGAAACAGTTCTTGCAGTTTGACCCTTCAATTAAGTATGTCCACAGTTGGGAACCCAGTAAAGATTTATCCCAATCAAAGTTATTGGGGCTTGAGAGGGCAAGAGTGATAAAATTAAACCATTCTGCGGGTACCTTAGTAGATGCCAAGGTCTCATTAGATGGAGCAAAGTGTTTCTTATACAAATCCAAGCCTTCCTTGGAGAGAAAACCAGCATCATCACCTAACAAAATAGGTTTGTGCCTCGGATTTGAAAGAACAGAATCAACTTGGCCTAAGAATAACATGGAATTGACAATAACATTGGATCTAAAAATGGGTAGGGAAAAGCCAGGGGGAGCCTCCATGCTACTACCTTCAGAGCTGACTAGGTTGGCCACAGGATCTTGGTATGTCAATCTTGCAGAGGAAAGCTCATGATGAGCAATAGGAGTGCCACTTGGTGAGGTTTGGGTGGTATGAACAGATATCATTTCCATATTAGGAGCATGGGTATCTACAACAGGAATCTGAGGCACGGGTATGATGTGTTATGCCATTTGCAACATATCTGCCTGGTGGCCAGGGGCAGGCTCCTGCAACATATCAGTAGTAGCATGAGCATCAATAAGATCTTGCAGCATATGAACATCTCCTTGTGGGATTGGATCAGATTCCACCCAAGCAGCATTAACAGCAGGTTGGATCTCTAGCTAAGGAGGAATTTCCTCTAGGGCAAAGACCGGAATATCTAGACCAAAGATCTCCAGATTGTTCTCCTGCTGAACCTCCATCTCCCCCCACATTGTTACCAGGTTAGGGAGCAGGTAGCACCAAGGGGGCAAGCAGTTCATTCAGGTCATGTAGGTTTGGGCCCTCACCCACTGAATTAGTAGAGCCACTATGAGATAGTTGTAACCTAAGAGAGAGTTAATCCACTGTTATCCTGATCATCATGTTGAGAAATATCCACCTTCAGATGACCAATTAGATCATTAAGCTCCAAGAATTCTCCCACATGCAATTCAACATCAATATGCTCTTGAGGCATAGCCTAATGACCCCAGCCTTCCTCTTCTTGTGGCCCTGCCATGTCCACATTATTCTCCTGGGCATTGTCTTGTTGGATTAGATGAAAGGCCATTGGTCCCACAACCAAGTCATTCTGGTTAGGGTGGTGGAATTGCTTTGGAGGTCTGGGATGAGGATTTCCATCTTTTGGGACTGGATCTTCATCTGGAGGTGGACCACCAGAAGGAATGTCTTGGAAGATCACCACAGGGCAAGTCCAAGACTGACCATTCTCACTATTTGCACCAAAAACTAACATGCTAGCAGGAACATCCTTGAGGGCAGCAATCTTAACCTTGACAACAACTGCAACATCACAAGATTTGACTCTGTCCCAAACCTAAAGCTGACCAAAGCTAGCAGTGGCATTGAAAAGTTCATGAAAGGATCTGAGATCAGCAGGAAATCCAACTATCAATAGCCAAACATCTCTGTTTAGGGAGAAGTTCTTCCAGCTCATACCCTGGTTGTGCTTTTGAAATACAAAGTGGATATCATCGTACTGGTGTGGTCCTGAGTTGACTAGGAAATCATGGTCTGCAGCACTATTCAAACGGACAAAAGCCTGGCCAAAAGGGCATCTAGAAATGGAGACCACACCCATGCGCTTGGAGAGGAGGAACTCTTGCAGAATTTCTTGGATATTGGCAAAGGCAACCTCACCTTGCGGCATTGGGATGATAGTGATGATGGCGAGATCCTCATTGGTTGGAACCAGTTTTCCATGGATGACACGATGACGGGTCGGCCTACCATCAACTTCAATGGTGTTGTAGCCGACGGGAAGGAAAGGAGTTGGGTCGAACGGGAAAGAGGCCATGGACGGCGCCGCAACAGAGAAAGAGGAATTCTTAGGTGGCAAGGTGGAGAGTTGCAGCAGAGGTGGAGGTGGGCAGTGGGAATGCGAGATGGCGGGGATGGTAATGCGCTCGTTAGAGTGATTTGATTGATCGAGGGGAGGCACCGTGCCTCTGACAATGGGGTCGAGCGTGGGTGAGAGGCGGCTGTCTCGGTGAACAACCAAAAGTGGATGCGGCGATTGGGGGGCATTCCTAACAGAGGAAGCGGGAGCGTTAGCCTCGCTCCTAAACCGGCAATTAGCCCGAATATGGCCCAAACACCTACAACCACTACAGCGGATCCTACTGGTGCACTTGGGCCGAAAATGGCCCGAGGAAAGGCAGGAACACAGAAATTGGCCTGAGAGCCATGGGCTTGAGAAGAACGGTTTGTGGGCCTAGTAGTTTGAATAGCCCTCGATCCCGCCCTACCGAGAGCGGTGTTAATGGGAGAAGTTAATATCGGATTTGAAACAGGCCTTGACTGCAGTAAACGCTCCGAAGCAGGAAGAACACGCGGATTACGCGCTTCAGGGGTGGGATCATCGGAAGAAAAGACACACGGAGATTGAACTACAACAGCATATGATCTGCGATCGTTAGATCGATCAACTAGAGTCCATTCTTTGTCCAATTCCTGCATGTAAAGATTATATTCGTTGCGGAAGTCTGGACTGCCGCGACCCCAGAGGAAAAAACGCACGTTGAAGAGATCATTCACATAATTTCCCCCTTTGATGATCGCAAAACCAACCTCCTTAGAGGAAACGCTGAACTTGAAAGACCAATTCTGTAGACAAGCGACTTTGAAACGAGAGGCATGTCCGCCAAAGCAAGATTGGAGAATGAGACTGACCGATTCATTGTTGATACAGAGTTTAGACCTGCAGATCTCCACAACGAGGAAGAATTCCCGATAGCCGCTGCCCTCAATGTGGTTGACGGGCAGTCCGAATTGTTTCCAGATGTGGTCCTCAAAAGCCAGACCTGGCTCAAATTTGAGATCCGAGAGGGCCAGAGAAGGAGGTTGAAGGAGCTCGAGAGCAGCAGGTGGCTGGCCGACAGCGCCAGAGTGGCCGCTGTTGGGGGGATGGTAGCCGCCGCGGCCGGAGCGGCCAGCGGCGCGCGGAGAGAGGCTAGGCGCAGGGGAGGGTCTGCCACACCCTTCAGAAGTGGAATAGGGATCCCTCCGTACTAGCTTCTGGGCAGCATACTGGCGTACGACTCCATGTTTAAATGATGCTTCTACTAATCCACTTTATAATAAGGTGCAGGGATGCTATATGATTGTGTTGATGTATATATTGGTTGTGTGCATCGTTTGATGCAGAGACCACGGCTATCCCCTTTTTGAAAAGAAAAAAGGAAAAGTGAGTGTTTGGCCGGCTAGATCACTTGTCAATTTTTAGGTGAGGGGTACGGGGCGGCCACTGGGAAAGGCTCGAAACGAGAGGATGCAGCAACAGAACATGGTGCGCATGCAGAGCAGAACACAGCTTGTTGCACACTCTTGCCACATGTGAGCGTGGAGTAGACTATGCATACACAGCGAGCGCAGGGATCCATACATGGATCGGTTGCAGAATATATCATTGTATGATCCGAGCGCCAATTGTGCAGCTCATACGAGTGGAAAGATTGTCAAAGGAGTGTTGATGGATCACTAGCTCGATCTGTTTTCTTCACGATCTTCTTTGCTCTGCTGCCTTTCCCTTCCCACTGGCACTCCCATGTTCTCATGGCAAGAGGATATTTTTTCTACTCCCCCCAATCCACATCACTTGTCGCTTAAATAGATGTATCTAAACATATTTCAGTGCTAGATACGTCCGTTTAAGCGACAAGTAATATGAATCGGAGTATAAAAAATGTGTACATTTCTTTAGTTGAATGGTGTGCATATAAGCATATTTGTTAGGCAATATACGTACGTATTAAATTCCCTGCAGATAAAAAATGTAAATTAATGCTGTTTTCTGACGAGCGTTGTAACAGGACTACAGAGGAGGATCTTACAAGTATACACACGTAACGTCAAGCATAATGATTCAGTCAGATGGGGCACAGAGAACTACGCTCGCCTGAATTTGCAGCATCCACAAATTAGGTTCAAAGAAATGAGCTCCAGCCAGAAAAAATAAAATCAGCCTAAAAAAGAAACAAGCTCGAAAATTAAGCATCCACAAACAATACGGCCAATTAACCATGCGCAGAAGAATGCACCAGCAAGTTAAACAACCTGCCATCCCGGGCCCTTCATCCAGATTAACCGAAATGTTAAACGGAGGAGTTGAGGCAGCAGTAGCACCATGCTAATTCTAAGCTGAATCCTACAGGGGTTAAACAACAAGATTGCCAGAGCAAATCCATAGCAACTTGTCAAAGTTTATTAGTTGCAGCCCATGCCACGAACTGACAGCATTTCACTCAGTGTTGCTTGATCAAAGTACTTATGTTTCACAAACTACTGTTCCTTGATACTACAAAAACAGGTCCGCCATTAGGAGCGCCACCTAAATCCTCAAATCCGCTACAGACTGGTCCTTGAGCAGGCCATGCGCACCCATTTACATGCGGCGGGCATCGGCGGATGCAGCCCAGCTCGAATGTTTCCTTCCTCAAGATGCTTGCTTATTCAGCCGAAGAACCAAGTGCACAACAGGGAGATCTTCAAGTATCAGGGTATGTATGTATGTTATGGCAGCTAAACTTACCCTACCAATATTTTGGTCATGTCCAAAACACTGGCCTTTGTTTGCATGGTTGCCAACTAGGAGTATTTGGCATGCCGATGCCTTTTTGGTTACTCTAGCTCGTTTTCCTTGCCGATGTTGGCCAACTCATGGGCAACCAAAAGGTCAACCAAATTTGGTAGGGCTGGAACCAAACATACCCTCAGTCACCTCCCCTTTCTCCTGTCCTTTTCTCTTTCTCTGCTTCTATCATGGTGATCATCCTTCTCTCGGCCTGAACTTTTTTCGCGTGCTCTGTCTCTCCCAACATCATTACCATGCAATCTGTCTCTGCTGCGATTGTGCTCTCGGTCTCTATCCAGTGATGATTTCTTTGAAGGACTACGGCTCTTACTTGGGCTGTGAGGCCGCTTCTTGGAAGAATTGCGTGCATCATCATACCTTTCTTTCCGGTCCAATGGTATTCTCTCTGCAAAACAGAAGTACATTTCTTTGTAAAAACATGCACGCACTGGACTAGGTTGAGGGCTACAGCATGGCTCATTGTTATTATCAGATAAGCTATCACGTGAAGCAACAAAATAAGTATCAACGATGGAGATGCTCCAAAGAAACAGAAATGCAGTTATCAAAAGACAGGGTAATTCCCTTGTGGCCTTCTTACATACCGGAAGAGCGCCTGTTGTTTGCCCCATCTACTGAAGAAGACAACCCATATTCAGACTGAAGACGCCTACGGTGGCTGGCAACCTTCCTCTCAAGCTCCTCCATGTTCCACAAACCCTTCTCCTCAAGAGATTCACGATACTGCATGACACCAATCTCAATCTGCCTCAGCTTCTGCCTGCAGATCAGAAGGTGTAGCGACTAAGCAAAAAAGAATGTGAAACACTAATGGCAACATGACTGAATATTTGGGGCAAAGAATGTGAAACACTAATGACAACATGATTGAATAATTGGAGCCGGTGAAGTTGGATACCTATGCTCTTCATCAACAATTGTATCTGGATGATGAATTGTGTGATCAGTACTAATTTCTGTTGCATCAGCTTTCCCAGGATCACCAGCAATATCACTTCCAGATGAATAGCTCAATCCCAATCCTTGACCATCTTTTCTATCTTCATCGCTGCTGCCATCATCCTCTCGATTCCATTTAGAAGCTGGTAAGATGGGATCAGCTCTCTGCTTCTTGCTTGGAACTTGTTTCGGTTCAGCAGATACAGATTTTCCATAGTACTTTTGACCTGTGACACGAGAGAGACCCAGCATATCTGATTCACCATCAACAGTACCTTCTCCAGGTCTCGAAGCACTACGCGCATTCAAACCAATATCCTCTCTCCCAGTTCTATGAGGTTCTCCTTGTCCATATTTCATGTCGACATCTTTCTGATATACTCGCTCCTTCTCAGCCTCCTCTAGGCTGAGCAACCTGGCAACCATCATCTCTTTACCACCACATAGCGAGAGGCCATTATGTCTACAACGACGTTCAAGCTCAGCAAGCGGAAGCCCTAACAGCTCCTTCGTTGCTGCTGCCTTTCCTGTGGCCAGGGCACCATCTTCATCAAGCCTAAATCCATTAGTACCATCCTCGGAGCTAGTTTTCTTTTCAATTTCAGGTGCATCACCACATAGAGAGTGGAAAGGGGTGACCCCAGAGTTGCCTGGTCTAAGAAAGGTAGCTTTCAGCCCATTCAGATATGCATCAGAAAACAGAAACCAGTCTGCCCATACTTGTAGAACTTTCAAAACCCTCTCCTGCAGAAAGTAATAAATGAGTGTTATTATGTAGGAACATCAAGGGGGAAAATGAAACCATACTACTCAACAAATACCTTCAGAGCTTCAGCAGTAATCCTTCCTGTAATACTGCGATACAAGTCATTGAAGCTCTCCATGACATCAGGTATAGCAGCCTCAAACTTGGTTCGAAACGCAGAAGCATTCTTCACGGGAGCACTACTGTTATGAAGGATGTCGGACACTAGCATAAGCCTTGCAACCTTGGTGGGAATAGATGTCTCCTTAAGTGTCAAAGATTCTGCAAGAACCTCGACAATCTATACAAGGGGAAACTCGGTGAGTTTTTATTCAATGCGAACTATAAAATAAAATTGAAGTATACTCCCTCCGTTCCTAAATACAGGTCTTTTTAGAGATTCCAATGCGTACTACATACGGAGCAAAATGAGTGAATCAACACTCTAAAATATGTCTATATACATCCGTATGTAGTCCTTATTGAAATCTCTAAAAAGACTTGCATTTAGGAACCAAGGGAGTACATCACTATGCAGTAGGCCTTTGAAGTGCAGTTTGCAACAAAACAAAAGACATGTGCGGTTATGTAAGAGTATATGACTAGATGATGGTCCCAATAGTAAAATATATACATCAATCTACATGTTACAAATTTGATCCACTTCTCCTTTCCTACTCTCCTTAGACAACACCAAATCCCATCAAAACGTATATGCTTGAGACAGAAAGTCTGTGCAGAGTAGAATGAATCTCAGTCCACAACCACAAGATTTGACTCACAATGATCAAGCTATTCACTGATCTTGGGAATTGTTGCAAGCTGTAGAATGTTTCACGTAGAGTAACTGAGACATTAAGGAAAAATAGCAGGACGCATGAAATAGAATCAATCAACCAGAATGAATTCATAATTTTAAGCTAAAGGCAAAAGGAAAAGAGGAAATATGAACTGATAAGGTCAAATATACAAGGTATGCATTACCTCTCCAGCAGCATCAGCATTATCTAACGCAAATCCCATTGCTTCCTTTATCTGACTCCTCTCTAATGTCAATGCGCGTAGCATGTCCTCAAATTCATCACGCTGTGAATCAGTCAGTGTACGCTCCACTTCCGCACGCTGGGAGACAAAACACAAATTAATCAGGTAACTGGACCAAAGCATTTGCACCATCTAATAAAGGCAAAGTACCAAAAAGAAGTCTCTGCCAAGGCCAACCAAACCTTACCCTGCTTCTACCAGCTGCAAAAGTAGATTCTTTTTCATGATTAGGACTTCGGCTGGATGGCAAAGCAGGTGGAACCCATCTAAAATAACAGATTTAATACAACAATGTCACCAGATAGTCAATAAGCACAGGACCAACACATAACAGAATATCAGTGTGCACGCAAACCTTGCACTTCCAGTAATCATGATAAATGGTTCGGTTCGCCATCGTTGTAAAGTATCGCCCTGCATTTGAGTATCATAAGCAGTTAAACATTAGTGTTATATCAGCACAGTGATTCCCACATATACTACCAAATTCTAGAGACCAAGCTGAACAGAACATAATCAGGAGGTCGAAGGACATAAATTTTATTAAACAATACACTACTCATTTCGACCAATCAATAGGCCATCACTGAGCAAAAATATATACTGGAAAATGTCATAAAATATGTGTCTGTATGACAACCGATACAAACAATCTTCTATTGATAGATCATAGAGGAGATGGCATTGAAATTGTAGCAAGATAAACAACAGTGGATACCTGAGCAAAGGAGTATAACCGCCAGACATAGTATGTGTGCTCTTGCGATTTAAGATCAAACAAGAAGTTAAATAAAGAATTCCCTCGTCCTCTTTCCATTATAGCTTGTTCGAAAGCACATCCACCATCAAGTACATGCAGAGCCATCGTGTCAATCACATGCCTAAGATGTGAATCATCTGGTGGAGCAACTACTATATCAGGAACATTTGGAGTAAGGACCTGTTAAACCAAGTGAACCCCCGGAGTGGAATTAGAATTGAGGAAAATTAACTACACAAACTAACATCTAAAATTATTACCAAGGAAAAACTTCTTATATTATTTCTAGGCCTATAAGATACTAAAGAATGTAGCTGGCCGAATTACATACAAGAGTGCTAGTGAAAAAGGATTCAAAATCCATAACCGAAATAAGAGAGCCCACCCAGAACATATCACGTAGTGAACATATGTGAAAGGGCTAAAGAATTTATGTGCCAACTTAAGAAAGATGGCAAAAATATTATTCATGTTAAATTGTATGCAGCAGGGCAACTTATGAACTCTCTTGGCCTACACAACTCAAGCACTTAGATATTTTCTGAAAAGAGAGCTCAAACAAGCCGCGTTATGATACCTCAAAAGGTCTATCTCAAAGAAAACGTGGATTTTTTTAATGATTTTACTTTTATGGTTACACAAATAGCATGGATATCAAGAACAGTATGCCACACAAGGACAGATGTATATGTAAGAGATCACCAACCAGCTCTGAGGTTTGCCGTGTAACTGATGCAACAGGTGGACCTCCAGGACCAGATATGATTACAGTACCACCCTGTATATCAAAGAAACATAAGGAGGTCGTACAACTCACAGAGAAACACCAAAGACATGTCATCTACTTAAAACTTCCAAAAATATATATATAAGAGTGAGCTGCACATAGAAATTTTTGAAATGAAAGGAGCAACCTCCTTGTTTCTGATTGCCATATGTCCTGGAGGAGGAGCAGGCAGTGCTTGTGATGGAAGAGCAACAGATTTGCCCCACCCAATCTTCAGCTCATAGTCGTATACAATAACACCTGCGTTAAGTAATTTAGTAACTGAAAACAGGAATATAAGTAATTTTAAAAAGTACGAAAAGGTTACTATTTTAAGGTCCTATAACATGATCCCAACTACATGGAAGTGCACAGTAACCTTGCATTTCATCCTTGGCTGCCTGTCCTTCTGCTCTATTCATGAATGCAACAAACCCACAGTTTCTTTGCCTTCTGCGTTCTTCTTCTGTTCGAGGCCACATAATCTTGACGCTAGCGATAGGTCCAAACCGACCAAATGTCCTCAAAAGAAAATTCTCATCCACCTAACAACATATGGCATATAATGCACAGTAAGCTAACTATGATGCCTATACACTTAAAACTGTGTCTAGACAGAACATGTACGGTGGGAAAAATCAACCTGAGGAGAGAGATTGCCAACATATAAGTTTGTGGTTTGTGGATCCCCATCATCAAATGACCCTGGTATTCTCCCACTGGGGTCAAATTCATCTGGTAGTTCATCAAAATGGCTAGAGGACTGCAGGAAAATCTTCAATCATCAGTATATCAAATACTCCCTCCGTTCCAAAATAGTTGACCCAACTTTGTACTAACTTTGTACTAAGGTTAGTACAAAGTTGGGTCAACTATTTTGGAACGGAGGGAGTACAAGGGCAAACCGCAGAGATTCTGAGAGAAAACAATTAGGGGAACCAGTCAACAGATTTATCATATTTAGCTGGAAACTTATTTAGAAAATGTTTATCAAAGTTGACTGGCAGGGTTGGTTTTCTACATTCTATTTGACAAGAATACTTCAGCATGCTAAATATAATCAAAACTGCCCTGTGGATTTGTTTGATTTTATGTCTAGTGGAAAGAACCAAAAGATCAACTTTAACATAATATAATACCTACCGTGGAGGTGTCACCGTGTCGACCGTCACGTTCTTGATTACGCCTTTCCCGAAGCTCTTGCTCAAACTTGAGTTCCTCCATGAACTTATCTATTGCCCGTGGCTTTCCTTTTTCCTTTTCCTTCGGCCGCTCATCTTCCTTCTGCAAGTCAAGATAATGCTCAATCAAAGAACCATACTGACCACTGAGCCAATCATAAGAACTATAAAAGTGCGCTAACCTTTTTGTCTGGCTCTTTCCCAAATGATGGCGGCAAAAAAGATGGAACATACCTGGATAATGATATGACGTACATAAGCTATGTATTGAGCTCATAAGTCAGATTATGCTGCATATCATTTGTACACATATATATCATGGGGTTGCAGATAACAACAATGGCGAAAGGATAGGAGCAATACAACCAAAATAAATACCTACTTCACTCTACAGGGGTACTTTGGATATTCTCATAAGTTAATGACACTTTGGTAGATTTTCTCTATTTAAATCATGTCGATCCAATACACACACATAATTATTTCGCCACAAGTAAAGCTCCGTCCGACATTGCAACGGCTTTTCAGAAGTACCTAAGGCCGTGCTTGGCATTGGTGTAATTTAATAGCATGTATTTAACTTACAGGTGCATCTTACCGGACACTGAGCAATTTGCGGACGGAAACAAACCAACAGGCCGAGACGTGTATTTTTTACAGGGGTATTTAAAAAAAACGATGATCCAAACAGTGCCTAAATGTTTCCACTTCTGGATGACATAATGCACCTTTAAAGCCATGGTAGAAAAATCATATCAGACCATAACTTATGATGCAGCAGCCATGAAATGGCCCTAAATCTAGACTAATTATTAAGCTTAATATGTTGGTTTTTGCGCAATTATGAGAATTTCTCTGCAACGCTGCCCATGATCAAAACATTTATAATAATCTGAAATGTTCCTTTATTGTGAAAAATACTTCCACATTGTTCTGATGCATTTGGTAGTTATTACAGTGATACCAACAAATACAACATGAGAAATCATTATATTATTATTCGTATATGTTTACAAATTTACAGTCGTCTCACAATTAATTAAAGTTTACATGGATGCTTCCGTGGTTGGTGTCTCCATGACTACGGAGAGTCATTGCCATGGTACTAGTGTACTACAAAACTGCTAAACATAAGTTCTGTAACAGCATCATCATCTTAAGCACTATGTCAGCAACAAGGAATTGCTCTGTCAAGAAGGCGCAGCTATAGTCAGCATTACAGCATAAATGCAACTGAGGATGTGCGAGTGCATGGGAGTGCAAGACAGTTTTCTTCTTCCGACCACTATTTCAAATGCATTAAGCACTGGGCAATAAAAGGTATATGGACGAATAATCATGAATCGTAATTGTAAGGTATAATAAATTATGTGCCTTGGTATATCACATCAAGCGTGTAAAAATTGCTCATTCTTGGTCTCAAAATTCTCAATTCTGATCATACTGGCACGTGATTTCTAAAGATGTAGCTGTGCTGCCACAGGATACAATCTTCTAGAAATCAAGTATTTTTTGCCGTTTACCTACTGCCCTTCTTTGGAACAGACCACCCATCTTTCGACTTTCCACCTGTCATTGTCGAACGAGTAAAAATGGCGGCCTCTTGATTAATTGGAGCAATAAAAGAAATAGTGCATAGATCCATCATGATTGATACTGAAACTGCAAGGCGCAAAGGCAACTATGACGAAGTATAGTAAAATGAAACCACTATCACTAACCTTCAGAATCAGCTCTCAGCTTGGCATTGGGATCAATCACGCCCCCACGGACAAACTTCGATCCAGATGTGCTTTCACCCTTGAATGACTCAACAAACTCCGCATAGACGCGCGCCGCTTCATCTTCCTCCCTCTTAACATACCAAAAGCAATTAAAATCAGATATGAACGAAATTTACATGTAAAAAAAGATGGACGTGTCTCAGAAAAAAGTTAAAAGGGACTTAAACCCCTGACCTTCTTCCTCGCCTCCTCATTCTCCTTATGACGGTTGAACGGAACCTTCTTCGAACTCATCCGTAGTTCTGGACACTGTCATACAATCATCACCAGAACATCAGAATCTGAGCACACATAAATGTTTCTACCACCCTATATGCGATCTTAATCACTGCAGTCACTCTTGATTCCCAGATCCCAGCGAGCACAGGTAGACATAGCACTCGTACTGCTCGTACACACAGATTTACGCGCATGTGACCTACCAACAGCAGGCGCAAACCACGAGGTCGGGAAGAATTGCGCGCAGAGTAACCTAAACCCTAACACATTCGAACCCTCGAAATTTTGGGGAACAAACTGCTATTGCAACAAACCGGGCCGAATCCACAGAGAACTGGATGCGTTTGCGAATATTGGAAGAGTAATGAGGTTATGAGGGTATTGTGATTGCTCGCAGCAACAAACAAAACACTCCTAAAACAATCGAGAGAAATATTTTAGGATTTTCGTACCAGCAGAAGGAATCGGCTTGGATGGATCTCCTGAATGCTCTCCGCTCCAAGCTTGGAACAGTGGAAGTGGCGCCGCTTCGCTGGGAGGAAGCTCGGGCGCTTCTCTACTGCCGCCGGCGAACAGCGGGGTCCGGCGGCTCGGGGGTCGGCCAAGAGAGGGAATGAGCCTGGGAGGCTGGGACCTGCGAGGAAGGGAGAATTGATTTTAACCCCCCCTGCGCGCTCCACTTTGATCTTGTACCCCCATGTTCGTGCGACTCGCTCTGAGCCGCCCTTGGGCCGTCCAGTGGTTGCTAATAACCCCTTTTTGCCTGTTTAACACATTTATTAGTATCTAATCATCAAATAGAAATAAGAATGGACAGAAGTACCCTTCAGTTTAAAAAGATCTCTTTACCTAGTCTGAACGTCCCAGCCACAATTTTTTTCTCAAATGACAGGATTTGCTTCAACTGTGCTATGTTTCTCACAGAAAAAAAAGAAGTTCAATTTTGCTGTATATGTAGCCTTTCAAACGAACAGAATACAAATAATATAGTCTCACAATGATTCCATGATAGCATATATAATAAGTTCAGCAAGATTCTACAGAACTGCATGACAACAAATAAAGGTGAGTCTCCACCTCACTTACACAGCAGAATTAAAGTGAGTCTCTACCTCACACACATAGCAGAATAATAGTGAGTCTCTGCCTCACTTACACAGGACCAAAAGGAGAGTTTGCACCTCACATACAGAACAATAAAGTGAGTCTGCACCTCACACATAGCAATAACACAAGTTCATCACAGATCGCTTAATTTCTTCCTCTTTGGAGTCATTTTCTTCTTCTTTCCTTTTGCTGGAGACTTTGGTGGTGGAGTAGCAGCTTCAGATGTTGCTTGGCTCCTTGTGACAGCTCCAGGACTAGCTTGAGATGCCGCTTGGCTTCTTGTCACAGCTCCAGGACTGCTACAAGTGGCGACATTCTTGCTCTTGGTTGGTGTAGATGGAATCACATTGCTAACTGAGACATCAAACCATGGAGATGGATTCTTTTTCCCCATACTTTTCCTACAAAAAGAAGCAATTAGAGATATTTTCATGTTAAAGAATCATGGTGTTATAGGTAGAAAACAGCAACAAGTATTAGTTTGTACCGTTTCTTTGTTCCATTTTGAGGACAGCCGGCTTCTCTATGTCCTACGTCCCCGCATTTGTTGCATTTGTTCAATGATCCCTTCCTTGATCCACCTTCCCACCAACTCTTCATCCTCTGTTTTCTTGTTCTTCCAGCACCTTTTTTCTTGCCTTTTGGAATTGGTGGACGCAACACAAAGCCTGTATCAACATGTGGCCACTGATTCTTGTCCGTAAGGGGCTCAATTACACCTTCATATGCTGCCCTGAATCTGCTAACTGAGTAGTACTCGTGCACATAATCCTCCATGTTCACAAAGTTGCGAGCTTGCAAAACATTTATGAAGGCTAGTGCATGGTCACAAGGCTTGCCTGTGTGCTGCCATTGCAGACATGTACACTCATGTGTGAGTGTTTTGACGACATGTCTTTCATCCCCTTTGTTATCATTTTTCACTTCTCCACTCCAATCAGCTGATGCTTTAGCCTTGAGATGTCCTAGTCCTCGAGTCTTTGCATTTAATTGGTGTATGACAAATGGCAGTATTTTCCCTACCAATCTCTCTCCAATCATTCTCCTCTTTCTAAATAGGTCCATAATCATCTCTCTAATCTTATCAGCTAGCTGAACAATCGGCAAGTCCTTGATTTCTCGCACCCAAGAATTAAAGCACTCAGCAAGATTGTTATTTATGTAGTCACACTTGATGTCAGGATTGAACATGCACCTCATCCATAACAGATTATGGTAATCCCTAAGGTAAGGATACGCTTTCTCAGATGCCTCAAACACCTTTGTCATGTGATGTTGATATTCTTCCGCCCTATATGCCCTAGCAGCAGGCCACAACCGTCCAAACACATCACCATGAAAATATTTCTGAAAATTATGCCACATATGCCTAAAGCACTCACGCTGCTCAGCTTGAGGGAAAACCTTTTTAACAGCATTTTCAAGACCCTTGCAAGCATCCGTACAAACAGCCAGTACTGGAGGGTCCCCTATTGCCTTCTTCACTTGATTCATGAACCAAGCCCAATTTTCTCCATTTTCAGACTCAATAAAGCCATACGCCACCGGGAACATCCAATTGTGACCGTCCAAAGCAGTGACTACAGCTAGCTGACCTTTCCACTTGCCATTTAAGTGAGTTGAGTCTATGTTGATATATGGCCTGCATCCATTCAGAAACCCATCTATGCATGGCTTGAAAGCAATAAATAGCTTGCTGAAATGTACTTCACCTTCACTTGTGGTTGTATCAATCTCTACAATACTCCCTGGAGACCTCAATTCTATCTCGGCCTTGTAGTTGTACAACATCCTGAAACTTTCTTCCCAACTCCCATACAAGCTGGTTGCTGCCTTTTGTTTGCCTTTCCACACTGTGTTATAGTCAAGTGTGACATGATGCTCTTCCTGTAACTCTTTAAGTATCTTCACAGCACCAATGGTTGGATCTTTCTTAAGCATAGTTGCTGCCTTGTCAGCCACCCAAGATTGACTTGTCATTCTAGTCACTTTTCCACTTGTTGAACTACAAATATGTTCTGTTTGATGCTTCACAACCTACAACAAAGAATGATTCAAATCGAAAGATCATTACAATGACAAGCAAAGAAACAAAGTAATATTCGAACTCTCCAAAGAAACAAAAATTATTACCATCACACAATTTTCGTCTCTCTGCCAACTAGCAGTTAAGGACCATTTGCAAGGTTGGCCTATCATGGATTGACCTTTACAAAAAGCCCGAAACCTTGCCGGCTCATTTTTTTTAGTGCCATATTCGAACTCTTCATTGATAGCGAACTGTTTTATAGCCTTTCTAAACGCAGCCATATCAGGATAAGGGGTCCCTATATCCATCTTTGGTTTTCGTTCATCCCACGCAATAAGTGGCTCCTCTGGAGCATTATCATCAACAGCAATAGCTGCCCCTTTGACATCATCCAAGTCATAATCAGGAGTAGGAGTGACAACAGGACCAAGGTTAGTTTTTCCCTCGCCCTCCTCTGTTTTCAAACCCAACAGAGCAAACATGGCTTTCTCGTCCGCCGGCTTTTCATCCGGAATCCCCTTTTCATCCCCATCATTTTCAGGTTCGATCACAAGACTTGACCAATCGACAATGGTACCAACGGTTTCTACTTCATTGCACGAGACCATCCCCGTGGTTAGGTTTGTCACACTGGATTGATTAGAATCATGCACAGACATTGCATTGATCCTATTCAATATAGACAAAAAAATCAGAAATTTCACACAAAAAGTCATGCATACATCAAACCAAAACAAGGGAATATGATGTTACCTTTTCAGATCCATCACACCCCTTTGCCGATCCAACCCCTCTCACTCAAATCCCCATCTCCCTCAGTACCTAGGGTTTCTAAGATTTAGACGTCCGTACAAGGGGAACTACACCAACTCCATGGAAAAGGGAAGGGGGAAGCTTGCCTTACCTTGGGGCAGCAATGGAGGGCGGCGGAGCAGCAAGGGCGACGGCGAAGCAGCAGGGCGACGGCGGAGCAGCAGGGGCGGCGGCGGGGCGAGAGCGAATATGCGGCTGGGTGGAGAGCTGGAACGAGCGAGCGAACTGGTGGCCCTGTCTCGCGTGAGGGTTTTTTTATCTAGCGTGTTGGGGGTATTGAGGGCAGTTTCGTCAAATAGAAATATTACCAGACCAGTTTTTCTTTCATTAGTAGCAAACTGAACGCATAACAACAAGAAGGGGGCAATCAGC